GTTCTTCCTTTATTCTGGCCTGCAATAGACATGCTATTTGTCAGGAATGTATGGTTGGCATGCTTAATGCCAGCCGTCGTGGCAGTTGTTGTTTTGAGAATGCTCAGTTAGGTCTTCCATCCACCCCATCCTTACAATGTGTGTCCTTTCTGTCGTCAAGGACAGCCTCATTCTTGAGCTTTTCCCTGTGTTTAACACCTTCCCCTTCACTCCGCCTCTCTCACAGCGTGCAAGTGGGCTGTTATGGCATACGAGGATGGGGGCAGCTCGCGCTCAACTTCATCAACGTGGCGAGTCTTGCACGTGAGAGGCATAGTGGAGGTGGAGTTCAAAGAAGAATGAGAAATTTAATGGTTTCAATCTGCCCTTGTTTTTTCTTTTTCTTTTTCTTTTTCTTTTTATTTTTGCATGTTGTCACTGTGCCCGTTTTTTTCTTTTATTCTTTGTTCCGCAAAGTGCGCTCTTTTAGTTTGTAGTGATGTGACAATATATTCTCCGATGTTGCTAGCCCTCTGCTCTTGCAGATTGAGCGGCGAGCATCGGGCCTGTACAACCAGGCACTCACTTTTTTTGTGGAAGACAATCTATTCTTTCTCTTATGTCCTACATCTTTCTTTTTATGTTGTTCTCACCCCCTTCCTTAACGACTCTCCTGCCTCCTTCGCAGGAGCTGTATGCCTATTTGGCTGGTTTCATGGTGAACTCAGCTCCTCCATTGTTTCTTATGACAGATGTTGTTACAAAAGTTCTGCATGGTTGTTTGTCCTKTTTTGGTAAGCTTGGTATTGTGACCATGTTCATTTCTGCTGTACACCCCTTACATGGAGATTCGTGATGTACATTCCGTCTTGTCTATGTGTTGTGTACAGCTGTTATGTACACGTTTTCCTTCAGTGCATGATGTGATTGTGATGGCGGTCACCGCAAGGGCACGGGTTGCACCCCTTTCCCGTGCAGTGGGTATAGTTACGGCCCGCCTAAGGTTGGCCAGACCCAGGCGGCTGCCTCCATGCCCACTCACCTCTTGTTCCCTGTTCTTTGGGATAATCCTTCTACGYTGGCTCATGCATGTGTCAGTTGCTTGGTGACATCTTTTTATGTAGACATTGTTGGTCTATCGGTGTAAGGCTCTTGGCATTGCTGCTGGTTGCACACTTATGCTGATTGCACACTCATCGGGAGACGCAGTTTCACATTTACACCRAGCTCCCTCTTTGACAATGCTGCTGACTGTGAACAGCAAATAAAAAGGACGATGGCAAAAATCCCGACCTGAGCCGTCGGGCCTACCTCATGCACCCACCTCCTTTCTTTGGATTGAAAAGTTGACAAAAAAAAAAATAAAT